GAAAACCTGAGTACCACATCTCTATGCTAAGCACTTCCAAAGACCAGCACATTACACCTCACTACACAGTGCACAGAGTTGGTAAAATGGTGGGGGTTACATTCAACAGACACAACCCCTATAATGCAATGTGTTATAACCCAGGCACAGTAGGTTACATGACTAATTGCATGACCAGGCTCTGGAACACATAAGCATGGGAGGGGAAAGGCTGCCACCTCTGCTGTGGGCATGGTGACCACGCATGAGGACTTTTGCACCTGTGGACGGCCGAAAGGACCACAGCCTAAAGGACCGCAGCCTAAAGGATGGGGCTGAAGTCTCCAGCATTCACCTCTGAGCATCATACTGCAGGATCAAAGCCAACCTCAACATCAACTTAGATGTTGTTATACTCATGTAATCATACTTTTAGTTCTTTGATGCTGAGGTTTCTGATAGACAAAAGATATTGTTCTAGTCACATGTATATTACCAACCCTGTCTCTATAGCTCTTCAAGATCAGTCATGTTTCTATCTCAAACTCTTTCCTAGGATACCTATTTTGACAATTTTCTTCTTTCTTTTTCTTTTTTTTTTCCTAGTTGAACAAGAGCAGAAAAGTGAGGGTGGTCAGGAGACACGGAGCTTAAGCCCTCACCAAAGCTTTGACAAATCACAGCTAAATGAGTGCCCAAGAGATTCTGGCTGTTACATCTCATCAGAAAATTCAGATAATGGTAAAGAAGAAGCAGACCCAGAAACACTGTCTGACATGGTGCAGTCAATAACAATCACTGAGTCAAACTGATTCAGTCCCGATGCTTTTCTGTAGATTTTCGGAAAAGATAACCAGTTTTACCAGTATGATGGCACAGAAGCAGAAGCACAACATATTCTCGACTTGGAAAATCTGCTTCTGTCTGATGTACGATGCTCTAGACTGTTTAATATGTGGACACTTGATAGCTGAATGGTCACTGATAAGAAGAATATCTCATGTTTTTCTTTTCAATGAATCCACAGACATTTCACTGAAAAAGCTTACACAGATGTATTTATAAATACTTGTACAGTAAATGCATTTTCTGTAATAATAGGGAATTGGTTTAGGTAGCAGTGCATAATATGGACATGTTCATTTCTTTAACAGTCCAAAATGTAAATATTATACATATTTATTCTAAAAAGATATGGATTAATCACACTGTCTCTATTTTCAGATGTGTTTTGCTGATATTTGTACTGAATGTATTTTCATTGATATATCATCTTAATAAAAAGGTGGACACATTCACATCCTACTCTGAAAAGTCCCAAGCTAATTCTCATTAATATTAAAGCTGTTTCATACCATTCTTCTCCAAAATGGGCTCTAAAGTTGACTATCATCTTCTACACTTTATCCTGGAGCTACGAAAAAACCGTGTTGTTTATCTGAATCAAGCTCTCTGTGTTCACTATCTTTTAGGGAACATAGCCATCTGAATGTCTTATGCACTGGCAATTTCTTTATTATTTTCATACCTGTTCTCATTCTTCCCAAGCACTATACAGAGAACGCAAGCTTGGGGCAAAAAATAATCAGTACTAATGCTATGCTTTTATGATCATTCTTTGTGAAGCTCTTGCCTTTTGTGTGTGATGTGAAGTTTGTTAATAGAGTATTTGTTTGTATACAAAACTTGGAAGCTAATATGGTTATTGTGCACTATTGTTTTTCATATGAGATTTCCCTGTCATTTCCCAGTATATTTTGCACTGGAACAGACATTTTAACTGCCTGTCTTCTTTCAGAGTACTTCCTTCAAAAAATAAACAGAATCATGTATTTGAGCCCTTTAAAAACTACTTGATCTGGTCATTACATTTCAAAAACTGCTCTGTTCTAAGACTAACAGAGTAAATGGCAACTCCATTGAGTATTTTTATCATGCACAATAATCTGTGTATCAGATCAATAGAGAAACTTTTTGCTCACCAATTAGTCATACATTTTTCATAATTTAAGACATTTTGCATTTATGTTAAAAAGTTTCTGCATATTGCTGACAGCTTAAAAGACAATCACCTTCAGAAGAAATTAAACATGGAAATTTCCACTGCAAAAATAGTATTTCTGAAGAAGCTATAAACAAATTGAAAGGTTTTTCTCCCTGCTTTTTCCACTGGAAATGCTTTCTGTAGTTTTCATGACCCCCTCGGATAGCTACTGCTGTCAGAGTCCTAATACACAAATCTGCTTTGAAGACTATAGTATAAAAATGGTAATTTTAGAAAATTGCATTAGCTAGATTTCAAAGATTTGGAGTAGAATAGAACAGACTATTTCATTTGGAAGGGATCTACAATGATCATCTAGTCCTGACCACTTGAGGGCTGACCAAAAGTCAAAGCATGTTACTAAGGGCATTGTCCAAATTCCTCTTAAACCCTGACAGGTTTGGGGCATCAACCACGTCTCTAGGAAGCTTGTTCTAGTGCTTGACCACCCTTGCAGTAAAGAAATGCTTCCTAATGTCCAGTCTGAACCTCTCCTGGTGCAGCTTTGAACCATTCCCACACATCCTATCACTGGATACCAGGGAGAAGAGATCAGCTCCTCCCCCTTCACGTTGCCTCCTCAGGAAGCTGTAGAGAGCAATGAGGTCACCTCTCAGCCTCCTCTCCAAAATAGATGAGCCCAAAGTCCTCAGCTGCTCCTCACAGGACATGCCTTCCAGCCCTCTGAACAGCTTTGTTGCGCTCCTCTGGACGCATTCAAAGACCTTCACACCCTTCTTAAACTTCAGGGCCCAGAACTGCACACAGTACTCAAGGTGCAGCCACAATAATGCTGCATACAGCAAGACAATCTCCTCTTCTTACCATCTGTTTATACCGTGTTTAATGCCCCCCAAGATGCGGTTTGCCCTCTCGGCTTGCAGCGCATGCTGCTGACTCAGTGGAGCCTGCTGCTGACCACCACCCCCAGATCCCTTTCTGCAGGGCTGCTCTCCAGCCCCTCCTGTCCCAATTTATATTTGTGCCCAACATTACTCCATCCTAGGTGCAGAATCCAGCATTTGTTCCTGTTAAATTCCACCCCATTAATCGTAGCCCAATGCTCCATTCTATCTAGATCCCTCTGCAAGGCATGTTGTCCCTCAAGAGAGTCAACAGCACCTCTCTGGTATCATCAGTAAACTCACTAACAGTGCATTCAGCTCCTGCATCCAGACCGTTGACAAATATATTGAACACAACTGGCCCTAGAATTGAACCCTGAGGAACACCGCTGGTGACTGGCAACCTGCCAGCCGTAGCCCCATTCACTACAACCCCTTGAGCTCTGCCCTTCAGCCAGTTCTTCACACAGTTCAGTGTGAACCTGCTCATCCCACAGCTGGACAACTTGTCCAGACAGACACTGTGAAGAACAGTATTAAAAGTCTCACTAATATCCAGAAAAACTACATCCACCGCCTTCCCTTCATCCACTGGGCACGTGACATTATTGTAGAAGGATATCAAATTAGTTAAACAGAACTTTTCTTTTTGTAAACTCATGTTGACTGTGCCTGATGATTGCATTATTCTTTAAATGCTTTTCACTAATACCCACAATTTTTCCAAGAACTGAGGTTAGACTAACAGGTCTGTAGTTCCCTGGGTCTTCCCTCATGCCCTTTTTGTACATTGGAACGACACTGGCTAGCTTCCAGTCAGCGGGGACCTCCCCAGACTCCCAAGACCTTTGGCAGATGATCAAGAGGGGTCCTGCCATAACATCCACCAGCTCCTTCAGTACTCTGTGATGAATCCCCACGTGGACTTGTGAACATTCACCTCTTGCAGCTGGTCCCTTACAATTTCAGTGTCCACAAATAGAAAGTCACTGTTTCCACACTCATGATCCCCCAACTCAGGGGACCAGGTAGCCCAAGGTCTATCAGTACTATTAAAGACTGAGGCAAAAAAAGCACCAAATGTCTCCACTTTTTCTTCATCCCTGTTGGTCAGATGACCATCTTCAACAAGTATCAGTCCATTGCTTTCTTTAGACATCTTCTTGCTATTAACATACTTTAAAAAGCCCTTCTTGTTTTCTGAAATGACACTAGCCAGTTTCAATTCCAGTTGAGCTTTGGCCTTTCATGTCTTCTCCCTGCACAAACAAACCACAGCTCTGTACTCTTCCTGTGAAGCCTGACCTTGCTTCCAGAGATCATACATTTTCTTCTTCCTCGTGAGCTCCACAAGGAATTCCCTCTTCAGCCAAGCTGGTCTTCTGCCCCACTTGCTTGACTTGCAACACAGTGGAATTGCCTGCTCCTGTGCTTCTAAAAAGTGGCTCTTAAAGACTGACCAGCACTCAAGTACTCCTAAGCCCTCAAAAGCAGATTCCCAGGCTACTTGGCTAAATAGCTCCCTGAATAGCTTAAAGTTTACTCTCAATAGCTTATAGTTTGCTTTCAATAATAGAGTAAATAAACTCTGTTTAGAAAAACAAATAAGAATAGGACATGCTAAGAATTGTTTCTGGTTTTAAAAGTTACTTTTGATGCTGGCAACAATCATCATCATTTAGCAGCAACGACCCTATATTGCCAGGCATACAGGAGATGCAGAATCCCATGAAGGGATGAAGTACATGAGAGCTTGTATGAAGCAGCTATATTTCTTTCTTAATGCTTTTCTAACCAGTAGTGTGTCATGAAATGCAATACTGACTTTATTTAATATGGCTTTAATAACTCCTTCTGAAATAATGTAGTTGTATTAGCTTCTATTGTCTCCTCATTCTAGAGGACGAAAGTCGGCTTGAATTCCTCTAAGAGGGGCTTATCTCTTGGTTTTTGCGGCAGAAGTGCTTAGTCTTCAGGTTGACTCTATCTAGACATCTGTGAAATTGCTGAACCTGTAAAAATGTGTTGAGGTGATTTTAAATATGGTTATAACTGTCACGAAACAGCTAAGTTAGCTGGGTCAAGGACTAACAACCACAGAGACCAGAGATATACCATGACACAAATACTCTGAGAAATATTTATTTGCATCAGTTTGCAAATGAAAATAGGCCTCCCTAACTAGTTAAAGCAAGACAGGCAAGGCTTTCAGCAAAGCAAAATACCCAACAGCTGCTATTATTTTACAGGAACCAAACCCTGCATAACTTGGGCTGATGGCAAGAGGATAAACGTGTAAAGCTAACTAGTTTGTAACTACGGGCATGAGTTGTGGTTTAACCACTCCTGTCTCTAATCAGAAAGGCTTTGTCCAAAAGAAATTTGTTTAGAAAAATGTGTCAACTGAAATCTTGTCAAGATATTTGTTACTTCCTGGATAGGCAGAGCAGATTAGATCTCAAACTGAGAAACTTCTGTTCTCTAGAGCTATTCTGAGAAAATGAATGAGGAAATTCCATACCACAAAGAAAAAAAAAATGTGTTTCCTACAAGAAGCATACCCAACCTTCTTTCGTTTCTCAGTGGTCTCGTTGATCAGACTGATCATGGGTTAAACTGTTTATAATAGCGCCAACAGTCCTCTGACTGGCTTCAGTGCTGAATAATCTGAATAAAAGATAATTCTAGCAACTGTTGGAGAAAGTCTTGTGGAGATCTGAGCTACTTTTGAGGAATCTTTAAAATGTCCTAGAGACAGGGAAGAGAAGCAAGCAGCAGAGGTTTTGTTCATCTCTGTCACTTGCTCAGTGGTGTCATGTCCCTTTTCATATTTATTAACCTTCCTCTACGATTAAGGAGGACTGTAAGTTAGTAAGACCTTTACTTGGAGATAACTGAGAGTCCACTGGTCCCTGCAGTTACAAAGCACACAAAAAGATGCAAACCTAGTAAGTAATAGTAGAGGCGAAGCTAATGAGGCCAGCCCTAGTGGGGATTTCCCCTGCCGCAGAAGGCCTCAGTGCAGGCGCAGCAGACTTCCCCCCAGAGCTCCGGTGCTAGGCTGGTTGCTGGCACGTGTGCTGCTGCCCCACAGCAGAAAGTCAGAAACTTGGAAAGACTTAAGCGACCTGCAGAAAAATTCATCTGGTGGCGGG